ATAGCTGAAAAAGTAGATAAAATAAACCACAAATAAATCAGTTCACAGTTAAATTAAATGATTAAATAAATGAATCATTGATTAAATAAATGAGTCTTCAAATTCTTCCTAAAGTATTCAATTCCTGAATTCCACACCCTCAACGACCGTGGCAAACCATTCCATACAACCGCCCCCGACACTGCAATATTTCTTGCTCCTATCTGCAAACGAAAAACAGGCACAGCCATCAAATTATCATCATCAGATCTTAGACTTGTGCCAATACGCAAATTTGATCTTTTCTTATTGAACTTGCATGTCAAATATTCTGGCGTAAATCCATTTAAAACCTTGTACATTACCATACAGATTTTATATATTATCCTTTTATTGACAGTTAGCCAATGTAGGTTCCTCAAAATTGGCGTAACGCGATCAAATTTAGCACCACCTGCAACAATTTTAGCAGCTCTATTCTGGATGGACTGAAACATCACAATCGATCTGTTCGGTAAACCATAATACAAGCTATTGCAATAGTCCAAACGTGAATGGACGAACGCGTGCATTAATGACTGTTGATTTGTTCAATGATTTTTTAACTCGATTCAATCTTTGCAGTAGGAATGAACATGTCTTCACAATTGTTTTTATATGATCATTCATAGTTAGTTTGGTGTCAAAAATACACCCCAAATTTGTAGCCCTATGGCAAAACTGAACATTTTCATTTTGTATTATAACTGAATTAATACCAACCCTTGATAACTGCTGCCAGGTGCCTATAGGAAGAAACTGAGACTTGCACTGATTTAACTTCAGATAATTACACGACATCCAAACATCCAATTTATTTAAACATTCGGTAAGCTTGTTAATTTCAAAATGGAAGGTATCAGGTTTACTACTTAAAATTATCTGAATGTCATCTGCGAAAGCATGGTATTTAAAACCAAATGACTCGATAACTCCATAAAGATCAGCTGTATATAATAAAAACAAAATAGGCCCAAGCACAGAACCCTGTGGTACACAGGAGGAGACCAGTTTTATATTTGATAAATTATTTTTATAAGAGACTTGTTCTGTTTTTCCAGAAAGATAAGTCTTAAACCAATCAATCACCGTGTCCGAAATCCCAAAATCGTTGTTCATTCTCTCCAACAGAATACCATGATCTACACAATCAAATGCCGCAGACATATCCAAAAACGTCAACAGAGAAACATTTTGCTCATCAATAGCAGCATATATTTCTGATAAAACATATAACAAAGCAGTTTCCGTAGAATGGTAACGTCTATATCCAGACTGGTAGAGAGGAATCAATTTATATTTATCTAAGTGTTTTAACAAACTTTTTGCAACGACGCGTTCGATGATATTCAACACAAAACACAAGTTCGAAACTGGTCGGTAATTCCTTAGATCACTCCTATCTGCATTATTTTTTTCAAAATTGGGAGAACAATTGCATGCTTACAACAAGCAGGAAACGCACTAGTTGTCAAGCTTAAATTGACAAAACTTGTCAAAAAAGTAATAAATAAATTTAAATACTTCTTAAGAACATAAGTAGGAATCAAATCCAATAGACACGTCTTTGATGGTAAATTAAATATAGTCTTTTTTAATTCCGTTTCAGTTACAGGTGGAAAAAATGAAAACAATTCATCACTGTTTAATTTACTTTCATAAAAAGCTGGTCGATTTGCAATGTTCTTAGCTTGTCCAACTCTATCAATTTTCTCTTGAAAAAAATTTAAAAATTGATCAGAGCTATAATCTGGCGCTTCTTGAATTGAAATCGAATTGTTATTGCATAATACTCTGTTGACAATGCTCCATAGATTTTTAGGACTATATTTATTATCATTGATTAATTTTTTCCAATAAGAATTTCGCTTTTTTGAAAAAAGCTTAGTTTTATGCTTCAAAGCTGTGACCCAATCACCACGACGCTCAGGCAGCAAACAGTTTCTATATTTTCTTTCTTTTTTCGACAATCTGCTCTTGCAATGTAACATTCCTTATCAAACCAAGGACAGATTAGATCACACCTAATTTTAACATAACGAAGTGGTGCGATTATATTAACTATCTTCGTCAATTCATCATTAAAAATATTAAATTCACAATCAATGTTGTCGCTTTGACACGGTTTAGATAAAGAAAATTTTTCCACAAGCGTTGCTAAGTCATCACCATTCATATACTTCCAAGATCTGACTAATTTTATCTTTGTCTTGTTACATAATTGTTTTATTGGTATTTGAACCAAAACCAAACCATGATCAGAGTATACACCACTTGGTAAAACTCTACAATTTGTAGCCTGGAAATCACTAGAACTGGCAATTAAATCGAGTATACCACCAAGATCATGAGTCGGTTTATTTACATGATTTGTTAATTGAAACATTTCAAAAACTTCGAGTAAACGAATGGTTTTCTGATCATTAGCTCTTTCAAGATGAACATTAAAATCACCCGCTAGCAAAACATTTGAACTTAGAACAGAAATATTTTCTAATACATTTACAAGTTCTTCAAAAAACAAAGCACTAACCAATGCCGAGCCAGGTCTGTATACCGCCAACAAAACAAAATTG